CAGTCTCCTCGAATACAATAATCCTACAGTTTGGACTCCCGTGGTTCTGAATTTGATTTCACAAATGCAATGTGAAATAGTGAAAACACAATAAAGTCCAAATTTGAAAAATCTTTTGGAAAATCGATTTTTAATCAAAAATGTCAAAAATGGACTGCATTGCCAGATTTCAGAGTCGTAACCTTAATTTTTTTGGGGAATTTAGAAAACTCGGGACTCCTGCCAAAGACCACTTGTCCGTCATCACCAAAATGTCTCATCTCGGGAACCTAGATATGAGAGGGGGAAAGTCATGAATTGAGCACCGCACTCACCCGATCAGAGATCAGCCTCTACTAATCATGACGTGATTTTTATGTACATTATATGCTCTTGTTCCAATTATTATGCTATTTTTACTAAATTATACACACAAGTATAGACTAATTCGCCCAATTTGAAACGTTTTGATTTCATGTTCGTTTTGAAAAGTGTTTTAAATATGTACCAGTTGAAAAAGTGATCTCATAAGCACATTAATCAAATCATCCCAACTTAAGCAAAAAGCCTCCATCCACAGGCATTTCAAACAAGTATATTAACTAAGCACTTATCCTCATGGTAAACACGCTTGACATGGCAACAGTCGCATGCATGCAATATGCTAAAGTGAAAAAGATGCTTACCGTAAAATAGCTGAGGCAAGCCAAAAGAAAGAAAATAGTTAGAGAAAATGCATGATCCTAACGATGCAAAATGACTAATGTAACACATACAACATGCAATTAATAGGCTCAGCTATTAGCATGGATGTGAGCCAATTCAAGGCAAGCGATAAAAGCACGTATTTGATTAAGGAAGTTGAAATTGACATTTGATTAGTATGATGAGCTGAACCTTATGCGTGCAAACATGGATATAAGTCATGGCAATGACATGAAAATGTAAAACATGATGCTACCATTATAAGCAGGTAAATGAAAAAGAGAAAGAAATGTGGGTTGGATGACATACACAATATTACAGTGTTGCAAATTTGCCCTCGCATAAGAGGGTCCGAATGAATGTCCTACTTAGGCTAATTAGTACAACACCAAATTAATGAATTAACTGCACTAACTAATTATTACAAATTAGACTTAAACTAACTAATTAGCTTCAACACGAAATTCAAGTAACTAAGTAACTAGTTATTACAAATTCAAAGGAATTAGCTAATTCATTACAACATGCTAATTAATCTAAGAGAAATTAAGATAATTAATTCGAATGGGAGTCGAAGAATCACGCGTGCAACCGAGAACATCCACACAGAAACGCCTCTGTTCTACTGTCTGAATTGTTTTGTTCGCAGTTAGAAAATAATTCTATTTTTGCCTCAGCTTCTGCTCTGTTCTACCATGAAAATGGCACTGCCTGCATAAAATAAAGTGGCCGGCCAGCCTTGAAAAGTGGTCATCCAGATGGTAAGGTGGCCGGCCGGCCATTGTTTTTTAGTATTACCTTGCCGCAACAAAATGGAAACAGAGCACAAACAGAGGCCTTGTTTGGTTTGTCTTTCTTAAAAAATTTTGAGAAAAATTCTCTACAAATAAGTTTTCAAAAGTAATCAAACCAAACAAATTTTTCCAAAATTTTTTTTCAAAACTTGTTTGGTTTACAAGTTTTCTAAACAAATCTCTCTCTCATACACATCAAATCAATCACTTTTTCTAAAACTCTCTCTCAAAATAATTTTTCAAAACATCTTTTGAAAAAAAACCAAACCAAACAAATTTTCGTACTTTTTATCTCAAAACATGTTTCTCAAATACAAACCAAACAAGCCCAGAGTGTTTTCAGGAGGTGTTTGTCTTTTCTGCCTCTCCCTGTCATGGAATTGATCAAGGGAGGAGTAGAATCGGTCCACAAATCATCAATGATCACAAGGTTATTGCCTGATGATCTATGAATCAATTGGAAAAAAAGATCAATGACATGAAATGAAAGACCAACAATACCCATTTCCTATCATGGAGTCATCTCAAGGAAATGAGTGGACATTGCTCCTTAAACCATTAACATCACTAGGAGTATGTAATGATCCAAAGCTCAATAAGTTTAATTAACGTCTGATTGAACCCGACTTGATTTTATTATCTTGTTATCACTTTTACCATTTTTATTTGCCTCTTTTAACATTACCCTTCCATTCTTTAATCATTTTGTCCCAAAAGTAATAATTATGTCCACTAATGAAGAGAAATGTCAAACAAGAGGTTGTTCTTGGCATGAGAGAGATGTAATACCCTGGTAATGAACCTCCGAAAAGATTAAACCATTAAGCATAGAAGGTCTCTTTCGCATGCCTTAAACAACCTCAATTGTTTGAAATAACTCTTACTAAAAAGAAAGAAAACCAAGAAAGGAGGGAGGTTGTAGAGATGGTTGTTCCAAGTATGAGTACATGCATGAAAACTATGAAATAAAAGCTATCAACTCAAATAGGTTGGTGTCTAAGGCCTAAACTACCAAACCTATGAGGACTTACAACAAGGAAAGTATAATATTCAAAGCATAAATGAAATAAACATATAAAAACAGTCGTAAAAACAGCAAAACAGTGTTGGAAATACTTTGAAACAAGCTAAAAAAAAGTAAGCCAAAATGAGAGAGAATTAAAGCCAGTAAGCAAGCCTAAAGAGGGGTGGCTAACCCCTCCATTTTTTGGACCTCAAAACCACATATTTCAGCCTCTTAAAACTTTGAAAAATAGTAGCCAAAAGTTGAGAAACAAGTGGGAAACACAAGAACAAAAGCTTATGGAATAAGGTTCAAAGAAGGGTGGTTAACCCCTCCACCTCTGGTAGCTTTAAGTCATAAGTTTTAGCCCACAAACACAGTGCAAAATCAGTATGAAAACTGCAAGAAAAGACAAGGAAGAAGTAGTGTAAGAATGGCTAAAGTAATACCTCTTGAAGAGGAGTTACTCTTTTGTTCACAAACCACAAGATATCCACTCTCAAGGGCTGAGATTTTAGCTCAAGAACCTCAGTAAGAAGACTTAAATTTTTGGTTTAGGAGTGTTGGTGTGGTGTATGTAGCTTGGAAGATAAACAGAGTGTGTGTTTTGCAAGAATTTCAGCTTTGGTATGGTCTAAATTGAAGCCCCGGAAGTCTACTTTCTAATGGTGGTAAACTCACATCTAAATTCTAAGTATACAAAGAGATATGCCTAATTTAGTGAAGGTTGCTCATTTCTTTCTCAACCTGTTGATGCCCAACCTTTCCTAAACTAATTTTCTTCCCTCCCCTCCTATTTCCTTCAAATCCAAACCTATAAATAATATGTTTTTAAATATTTTTCAAAGAGTTCACCACCCTTCCATTTATTTCCACTTTGTCCTTACTCGGTTTACCGGAAAGTACAGTATTTTAAACGAAATGCGAGTCTCAGAACATCGTAGAAACACTTGGAAAAATATTTTGAAAAAGAGGGTTTTAAGGTCTAAAATACTTTTGGTCAAAATGGGGTGAAAGGCTGGGATTAGAAGCTCAAAAATCGAAACCTTTTGCTGAAGGATTTGAACGATTGTACAGCGTAACTTTTCATTATCGAGTGTTCAACCTGAGGCCCCCAAGTCTTATGGGCGGTCAAAAATAGGGTGTCTACACTCAGCAACTTCAATACTTGATAACCATATTAAAGGCTTATTGAGAAAAACTCCTATTCAAAAAGTTCCAACATTGGACCCAAAGCTCCAGGAGCTTTACGATGTGCTCTCAAAGCTTTAGGTAGACTATTCTCCGTTGCAAAACCAAATTGACAAATACGTACAAAATGCTACTACGTACATTTCTATGATACCAGAGTTTGCTCAAGGGATGACTTCAAAGCTACAAGATCAGCATTTGGCGGATGTCAATCAACATGTTACTCATGCTCTAGCTCTTGAGAATGAAGGAATTGGCCAAGTTCACTCGCTGAATTTTGATTTGGGTAGCCTTGCAGCAATGAAGGCAGAATTGTTAACGGCATTGGAACATTAAAATGAACAATCACAACAACTAGAGACTTTAATTAGTGTTGTTGACGCTGAAGTAGTTCAAAGGCAAGCCATTGTTTCCACTTTAAGAAAAGAACATGCTACAATAGAAACATCCGAGGTGATAAGAAGCGAGGATATTGAAGTCACCAACAAGTTAGAGCAGCTCTTGAAAGTTAAGTAAGGTGAGATCCAAAGTTTATCATGGTTGCCATGATTTATTTTATTATTATTATTATTTATTTTATTTTATTAACGAAATGTAGCTCGAAACCAAATACTTCATCATCAAATAATTGCTCTCGCAAATACTTTATTTATAAAATTAAAAATTAAAAAAAAAATTATTATAGTTTGAAGCAAAATGCTTTTATTGTAAAACACATTTGGTTTATTGATTTATTAGTCGTTCACAGTTTATACTCATGTGGGCCAAGAGTAGTACAAATTTTTTTTATTTTTAACAACTTTATTTCATATGGGCCAAAAACATCATGCAGTTTATGCTCATGCGATTAGGAGAGTTATATTCTCATGGATAGTACTGCTTTAGGAACTTGCCATTGATTTGGCCAACTCTTATACCTTCTTCATCAACAATCTTGTATGCTCCGTTAGTGTAGACTTCAGTCACCACGTACGAACCATCCCACTTGGATAAGAACTTGTTGCCGGTTCGGTGGGTAGCGATGATAGGTCTTCGAACGCCAACACCAATTCTCCAACTCGAAAAGATCAAGATCTAACCTTCTTATTAAAAGCTCTGGAGAGTCGAGCTTGGTAACACTCAAGTTTTTGTTGTGTTTCCAATCTCTTCTCATTCTATGCTTCTAACTCAGCAAGGCATAGTTTTGCATTCTCATCATCAATGAGACCTTCATGTATAGTTATCCTTAATGAAAGAATCTATTGTTCCGAAAGAAGAACCGCTTCAACACCGCACACAAAGGAGTACAAGGTGGCTTGTGTTGGGGTACAATGTGTCATACGGTATGCTCAGAGAGCTTCTTCAATTCTTTTATGAAAATCCCGCTTTGATTTAGTAACTACTTTTTTCAATAGGTTGCCCAAAGTTTTGTTAAACGTCTCTACTATTCCGTTGCTAGGTACACTGTACATTGAAGAATTGCGTTGCTTAAATTCAAACCTTTCGCAAAGTTTATCGATTAGACTGTTGTAGAAAGGCTTTCCGTTATCGGTGATGATGTAGCGAGACACACCACACTGATAAATAATGTTGGATTTGATGAAGTCCACAATAATTACTTTCTTGACTTCTTCAAGTGGGATGGCTTTTGCCCACTTGGAGAAGTAATCTTTGGCAACCAAGATTTTTAAGTGGCCCGCAGAAGACTTGGTTAATGGGTCAACTACATCTGGATCCCATGCATCGAATGGCCAAGAAGCAATTGTCGGGTGTAAAGGTTCTGGTGGTTGATGATTAAAGTTTCACAAAACTGGCAAGGTTGACACTTTCTTGAGTAATCTAAGCAATCTTACAACCAAACTAATACGCTCCACATATCCCAAAATGGGTTTCTTCCATGGCTTGTTGAGCTTCGTCATCCCCTAGGCAACAAAGAAAAATTCCTTCAAATGATCGTCGAAATAAAGTTCTCTTGTAATAGATGAATCAAGGAGCTCGATGTCGTATTTCAGTTCTATGGCAAGGATCATCATGGAGTTTCCCGTGTTCAAGGTAGTATATAATTGGCATTCTTCAATCGTCGACTCCAATGGCTAGTACTGAACTTGCGTTTGTTTCTACAAGGTGGGTAATACCCATCGTTGGCATACAAGGACACTAATTTGTTCACTTGCTAACGATGCCAGTGTAGTTGCTAGATTGGCAAGTGCATTAGCCATGCAATTCTCTTTCCTTGGAACATGTTTGAGTACCACCCCCTCAAATTTTTCAATGAGATAAGTTGCGTACTGAAAATATAGGACTAAGTTGTCTTTCTTAACTTCATAATCCCCCCGGAGCTGATTAATTATTAACTTAGAATCCCCATAGACATCTAGGTCAACAATTTTTAACTCTGTTGCCATTTGTAAACCAATGATTAAGGCCTAATACACAGCAACGTTATTTGAGCACTTTTCGCCAAGAATAAATTAGTAAGGCAAAATGTGCCTCTGTGGTGAAACAAAAATGACACCTGCTCATGCTCATTCCCTCCTTGTAGCCCCATCAAAGAACATTATCCAAGGTCGTAGGACTTCTATGAACAATACATCTTCATCAAGGAATTCCATAGAAAATTCCCAATCAACAAGGATGGGATGGTCGGCTAAGAAGTTTGCAAGGGCTTGCCCTTTCAACACTTTTCTTGGCATGTAAATTATCTCAAATCCATTAAAGAGGAGGGACCATCTCGCTAAGCGTCCTGAGAGGATAGGCTTAGACATGACATACTTTATTGGGTCGGCTCTTGCAATTAGATGCACTGTATGAGCGTGTAAATAATGTCTCAATTTTTGAGAGGCAAAAACCAACGCCAAACACATCTTCTCAATGGGTGAGTACTTGAGTTCATTTTCAGTTAATCTGCGACTCAAGTAATAGAGTGTTTGCTCTTTATTTTCTTTGTTATTTTGGGCAAACATCGCTCCAAGAGACTCTTCTTGAGTAGTGATGTAAAGTATCAATGGTTTTTCCTGAATAGGAGTTCTTAATACTAGTGGATGAAGCAAGTATCTCTTAATACTATCGAAAGCATTTTGACATGCTTGATCCTAAACAAAAGGAGCATCCTTTTTCATCAATCAACCAAAAGGTTGACAACGTCTAGCCAAGTTTGAAATGAACCTGCAAATATATGCAAAGTGACCTTGGAGGCTTCTAAGTTCCTTTAGATTTTTTGGTGGTGGCATCTTTTGCATAGCATCGATTTTGGATTGATCAAACTCAATGCCTCTCTGTCGAATAATGAAGCCGAAGAACTTTCTAGATGTGACTCAAAATGCGCATTTAAGTGGATTCATCTTTAAGTCATACTTTCTCAACTGATTGAAGACTATGTGAAGGTCCTCTAGATGATCTACCATTTTCTTGGTTTTGACCACCAAATCATCAACATAGTACTAAACAAATTTATGGTGCGTGTTGTTGAAGATTTTTTGCATGGCACGTTGATAGGTGGCACCGGCATTCTTGAGTCCGAATGGCATCACTTTATAATGGTAAATGCCTTTTATGGTACGAAATGCAGTCAACTCTTCATCCTCAGGTGCCATCCGTATTTGGTTGTATCCTAAACACCCATCCATGAAGGATAACACCTCATGTCCGGTAGTGGCGTTTATCATTAATTCCGTAATAGGAAGCAGAAAGTCATCCTTGGGACATGCTTCGTTCGAATTTCGAAAGTCAACACATATTATAATCTGTCCATTCTTTTTGACTACCGAGAGAATGCTTGATATCCATGTCGGATATTTTACTTCACGTATGAACCCAGCTTCGATCAGCTTGTTAACTTTTTCTTCCACTTTGAGGATGCGCTCAAGCCTGAAGTATCTGTGAGGCTCATTTACTGGTCACATACCAGGTTTGATCCCAAGGTGATAGATAACAATTTTTGGACATAAATTGGGCATCTCCTTGTATGTCCATGCGAAGACATCTTTATATTCGATGAGTAGTTCAAAAAATGTCTTTTCTTTCTTAGGCGTTAAGAGTACCCCCACCAAGATTGGTCAAAGTTCATCAGGAGTTCGCAAGTTGAGTGGGACAACCCTCAGCACTGATTAGTGCTAATCTATGATTAAGCATGTTAACTGACTGATTGACCGAAATTCTGAACTGATTGATTGAGTGTATTAGTTTAAATGCATGTTTATCTGTTGACTGCTAAATTATCTGTTCATGTATTATGTTTAAACTGTAAATCGAAGGCCTTATCGGCGGCTGAATCTAAAATTGATTAGTGTTTTGTGCTAGTTAGAATTTATGTGATTTTATGGTATATTTAATTGAAATTTGATTTTGTATGTTTAATTTGGATTAAATAATGCTAATTTGCAAGAGTTGGACTTATTCACCAAATTGCCATGCTAGTGGGCCATCTCATAAAACATTTGAGACTTAATTCATATCTCTTCCTCAGCCATTTCCTTATACACAACCGACTGGAGAGAGAGAGAGATAGGAGAAATTGAGTTCATTTAGCTTGGAGACTTAAAGATATTGAAGGTTAATTGCTTAATTCAGCCTCTAGACTTAAAATTAAGGAACCTAAGTAAGGATTTCATCCTTTTAATTGTGAAATCAAGTTAGTTCTTGCATGGTTCTTGGAAGATTAGAGTTTTAAAGACAAGAATTTGTTTGAATGTTGAATTGAGTTGCAATTCATGCATGCATGTGCATATCTTGAAGTTTAGAGTTGTTTTCATGAAAATTATTGCATGCATGTCTATATTTTTGTTATAGTCCATGAACTCACCATGTTTTGAAGTTAAATCTTGCATTTGATCTTGTTTTAGAACATTGGAGTTTAAAGGAACCCATGCATGTGTTGAATTTGCATTGTTCTTCATGTTCTTGAAGTTTATTTGAAAATTGTGTTTAATTGAACTACCTTTGGGCATTGATTTCTCAAATTGATCTTTGAAACATGTCATGTTATGAGTTTGCAAGTGTTTTCCAGAAAATTAGCCCAAGAGGATCGAATTTGATGCTTTAAAGTTGAGTTTTGAGCTTGAGGTTCAAATCTGGAAATTTTAGATTTTGGACCCACGCTCGAGCAAGGAACTCCACGCTGGAGCGTACACTCTAAATACATGAAGTCTGCTCGAGCATAGAAAGTGACGCTCGAGCGTGAAATGCATGTATCCAGTACTTTGCATGTGTTTACAGTCCGCTCGAGTGAGAGAGTTCACGCTCGAGCGAGGACTTGTGTCTCACGCTCGTGCGTGGATTAGGCGCCCATCGAGCATGATTTTTGTGCATCCAGTATTTTTACTGTAGCTTGCAGTCCGCTCGAGCGATGGAAGTCATGCTCAAGTGGAGATCCTTTGTCTACATGTCCGCTCGAGCGTAGAAAGCCACACTCGAGCGAGACCCCTGTTTTCTGAAAATTCTGAAAAGTGTTTTAAAGTGCATCTTTGCATCCTCATTCCGTCCTAGGCATTCCTAGGCCTAGTTTAAGACATCTTAATGAGGATATTGATGTAGAACCACACCGAGGCAAATTAGGGATTAAGTTGTTATTTCCCAACTGTGTAGCTTAGTGTGTGTTCATTCTGTAATTGTGTAGGGTTGGCATCCGAGGACGCGTACTAGCTTATCTGTAGCCCAGAGCTCTGTGAGTAATAATGTTGTAAAGATATGTTCAATTGAGATTATTTTCTGAACAAATGACTGTACTGCTTTATGAAATAACACTGTTTACTAAATGAATGTTTGTCCTATTTGTGAACTGTATTCGTGGCATCCATAGCAATTTACTGTTAATGTACTGTACTGCTACTGTCACAGAGATCTCTATCAGTTCCCATGTTTGGAACCACTACTGTTTCCTAATATGATGGCCATCATTGATTGCTCAGTCTGTTAAGACCTACTGCACTGTTTTGCTATTGGATGTACCACATATGACTAATATAGTTTCTGAATGACTGTTATGGCATGAATTATGAGCCACAAACTGAATGACTGATATGCTGATAAACGACTATTTTCAATACTGAAAAGACATTCATTCTTAACCTCTTTACGCATATGTTATTCACTGGGCTTTTGCTGCACTGTTTTGCTATTGGATGTACCACATATGACTAATATAGTTTCTGAATGACTGTTATGGCATGAATTATGAGCCACAAACTGAATGACTGATATGCTGATAAACAACTGTTTTCAATACTGAAAAGACATTCATTCTTAACCTCTTTACGCATATGTTATTCACTGGGCTTTAGCTTACTGTTCATATATATATGTAGGTGTTCAGGCACCGGACCAGAGTTAGGAGCGTCGGATTAGCTCTTGTTTTGTCAAGCCAACCATCATGCCTCACCTTGAGGTTCTAAGTGCTGCCAAGCTAAGGCTGCTTCGGGGTGTTTTAGATTTTCCCCTTTCTGTATCTGTTTTGCATAGACTGTATAGACCTGTACGGTACTGTTATGGTAGGGACTTGGTCCCTAACCCGAATGTTTGTATATGTATGTATAGTACTGTTTTGTTCTGAATGTGAATATGTTTTAAAAAGTCTTTTGCCATACAGACTATCACAGCTCATTGGACATCTTTTAATTACTGTTTTAGCTTCTGCCAACCCCTGTACTCTGTATTACTGTTTTACTGTTAAGGAGGTCTTCGGTAATCTCAAATTACTGGCCGGTTACGGTGCTAAACCCATAGGGGCGGGTTTGGGTCGTGACATTGAGCTCTTTCAAATTGTCAATAGTTGATTGCCCCCATCTTCAAGTTTTGGAGGAGCTTCTCGAAGATCATCATTCTCCGAATCTGAGCTAGAATCTTCTTCAACTATTACATGGTGAGAAGCAACATGTTCAATTTCTTCTTCTCTATTACTTTCTACTTGAGTCTTAATTTCTCCAGTTAGTATGATGGTGTGCCTTTTGACCTTAAGCAAACCTTCGATACTAACTTCAAGTGACATCACACATTTCATGTGAGAAAGAATCAAACTTCGCTTCTCGTCATCCTCCTTTGTAGAATTCAACTCAATTGTTAATGTGCTTCTCTTGTTCTTGCCTTATCTAGGTGATGTATTCTTATCCCCAAGTTGAGCAAAAATGGACTTTCGTGACCATGAA